GAGTATGAATACACAAATAATTTTAATTTACAGTTGGAACGAGATTAGCATTAAGTAATGTTACAGTTAATCCCCGATATAAGACCTACAAAAATAAGAATTAGAGGTTGTTTTTCCTAATTATGCACCTTGAATTAAGAACCTGTTTCAGTGTGATGAATATAATTATATGCGGATTTACTGTATGCCGAGTATATACAATGAATATGAAAAGTAATTATTTATAAAGCCTAAATGACCATAAATGCTTTCACAATCAATTCTAACAATTAAATATATTAGAAATCTTAATTGAAAATGGGTCATTAATACTCGAGTTTCAAGCTCACATTTTCCTGCAACGAACAGACAAGGTTAAAAATTGCAACTCCGGAATTTCACGTATAATATTGTCATTTTTTCAAGCTCTGTTTTACCAAATGGCCTCAAACTTTTTTCTTTCGCATTTCTGAATTATTTATTCTAAAGGCGTCAAAACACTTGCGAAAATCACCCTGAATGAGATGTCATAACCCAACACAACCTCCGATGAACACTCGAAGCGGAAAACTTTTTTAAAACTCTTCATAAGCCTGCAGTTAAGGTAGGTTTTTGAACATCATAACTTTGTCCATTTTTTTCTAAGGTGTTGGCCAGTGGCGGACACTTGGGGGGGCGAGGGCGGGGCGACCGCCCACAATACTTTTAGAGAACAATGGTCTTGTTCTAAAACAATGGGAAATGTGACGTCATCTTATTAGACAATAGGCTTGCCCCCCCATATTTGACCAAGTGTCCGCCATGGGTGTTGCACAGATTAACCGGATGAAAGTATTGTCAACCTGACGCTAGTGGGGCAGAATGATACAGCAGCCTTCTCAAAATAATTTCAAAAGGAATATGATTTTTTCGAAATAGTAAAAAGTAGTTAATTATTTTGTACCAAAACTTCCTATCTGGATTAAATTCTTCCCAATTATTAAAGCTTTTCGATTCCTGTTTTGTACATGTTGAGGGGCGGGAGGGAAGCGGAAGGGAATTTTAAATTAATGGTAGTCTAGTAGTTTAATAGGGCAGGGATTTCTGAAAAGCAGAACAAAGAAAACACAAATCAGCTCCCTTTGTCTTTTTTAACTTGATTTTTCAAAAGAGTAAATGGTTTTTTGGTTTATTTTTTAACACACCAATATGCATGTAATTTATTATTATTTACTTTTTCTTTGGTTTGGCGTTTCAGATAAGGAGAAAGTTCAAGTCAACTGTCGACGGTAAGTTAAGCATCCGAGAACTGTTCCCTAATATAAGTTGAATTCAGTAGTTTCTTATAACGTTCATTTTAGTAAAACCGAAGGCCAAATCAAAGCTGAAGACTCACGTTATTAGAAGTTTGAAAATTCGAAATAATAATTAGCCTTTTGGTGTAGTGTAAAATTTAACTTACTTACTAGTCATTCATTAGTGAAAATGATGTCTACGTATACCAAAATATGCAGAAGATTTGATCAAGACAATTTTGTCCACATTTACAGGTCAGCCTCATATTATTGCTGTATGAAATTAACAGAAATACGTATTTTCATCTGGCTATGAAAAATCTTTGTTAAAGAAACTCTGACTGAATATGCTTGTCTGCTTTCGTGGCTTGCCTTGCTCGCTTGCTTGTGAATGACTTGCTTGCTTGCTTGCTTGAATGACTTGCTTGCTCGCTTGCTTGCTTGAATGACTTGCTTGCTTGCTTGCTTGAATGACTTGCTTGCTCGCTTGCTTGAATGACTTGCTTGCTCGCTTGCTTGAATGACTTGCTTGCTCGCTTGCTTGCTTGCTTGCTTGAATGACTTGCTTGCTTGCTTGCTTGAATGACTTGCTTGCTCGCTTGCTTGCTTGAATGACTTGCTCGCTTGCTTGCTTGAATGACTTGCTTGCTTGCTTGCTTGAATGACTTGCTTGCTTGCTTGCTTGAATGACTTGCTTGCTCGCTTGCTTGCTTGAATGACTTGCTTGCTTGCTTGCTTGAATGACTTGCTTGCTCGCTTGCTTGCTTGCTTGCTTGAATGACTTGCTTGCTCGCTTGCTTGCTTGAATGACTTGCTTGCTTGCTTGCTTGAATGACTTGCTTGCTCGCTTGCTTGCTTGAATGACTTGCTTGCTTGCTGTGCTTGTTTGCTGTGCTTGCTATGCTTGCTGTGCTTGTTGTGCTTGCTGTGCTTGTTGTGCTTGTTGTGCTTGCTACCTTGCTAACTGCTATACATAATTGCTTTGTTGCTCACTGCTATGCATGTTTGCATGGCTTGCTCATTTGCGTGCTTCTCCACTTGCTTCTTTCAAAGCCATTTTCAAATTCTGTACCGCAAAAAATTGTTCATATTGTTATAATTGTAGTTAGAATAGAACATTCACCTGTCAGGTTAGGAAAAGTGTATATTGCGTGGTATCTTCACTAATTTACAAGCTTGAAAAATGTAGAAGTGTAGGATTCCCTCTTATTCTTGCGTTATTGTATCTTGTTCTGTTTATCGGATCATACGAACAAAAAACCCCAACATTATTGTAGTAAGCGACATAAGATCAGGACTAGGTCAAAATGTTTTGATTTTTTATTTCTCTTCCGATGCTTAGAATGAGGATGATGATGACGATTACGGCCCGAGCGATGACGTCATGAATAACAATACAGGGGTCACAGGAGATTCAATAGCAAATGCAACCCATCGTGGTTTTGACGATACGGTGGGAGACCAAACATTTTTTGGCGGAGATAACCTGGTCAGCCAGCCGAACAAGGTAATCATAATATACTGCTTATGTTTGCAATATAATTTGATATATAATTAGAATTACTCGTGATTTGGCAATTCAAGCGTCAAAGCTATAGATCAAAGTATCTGTTTAGCAATCATAATTTACCAAATCATTATTAGCAGTCTTTTGATCAATAAAAAGAACAATCATGTGGGCTAATCACTCAATCATCCGCTGATCATTATATTCCGATCCCCAATCAATTTGAATTCCTTAATTGCAGGTTGAGAAAATTAACATAGCATATGCAAAAACGGCGAAAAGAATAGACATCAAAAAACTGAAAAGATCGATTTGGGAGACGCTCGACTTCACTGAAGGTGAAACTGACAAGGTGATGTTGCTAAATATGTCATTTCAGGAATCATTTTAGGAATTATGTTTGGTATTTATATTTTATCGTTTTATCATTCAAGATACTTGTATGTTCCTAGATGTTTTGAGAGAAAATTTTGCTGTGCCTGGCCGTTTTTGTTCCTTTAGTACTCATTTGAACTTACCTTAGATACAAATGTCGATATTATTGTCCTGTTATTATTGGTATTAATATCAATTATTGGTATTGATATTTATGCTTTTGGTGAAAAATATTGTTTAAACTAGGCGATGTACCAATTTTTGTTTATTTTTTTAGTTTTAAAGTAACTATTGCCATGATTATACAAAATGATCAGTTTGAGCATGCAAAATGAGACCATTCTCAAAACGTGCATGCAAAACCTTGATCTTTTTCATGAATGGGTATTTTATTTTTCTTTAAATTATCTTACTACTAGCTTTAAGTTTATATGAAACACTTCAGCGATTAATACCAATTGAGTTCATGAGATTATTAAATGTTCTTTTTGTTGATTTCAGGAAAATGTTGTTGACAAATCTCCTCGAAAATCGAAACCAGATACACCCGAAAAGCAAGAATTAAAAAGCTTCAAAGAAGTTTACTCAGTATTACCAGAAAAATTGTCTCAGAATGCGTCGAAGAATTTAAGTGTTCCGATTGCATTTGTCTGCTTGCTATATTTAGCCAACGAAAAGGTAAGTATATAACGTCTACGAAAAGGATTTATCTAATAAAGCTTCCAGTCTATACCAAACAGGTTTAAAATTAGATTTGCAATGTCACACTCTGGCAAAACGAACTTCACTGTCTAGAAAGGATTTGTAAAGACATCTAGCAAGAGCTAGGCAAGATTGCTTCGAGTATTGTTGTTGTTTTTCTTTATACGTTGATAGAAATTGCAAAAAGACAAAATTAATTGTATTGCTCACTAAGTGTTGCACGCTAGGGCACAGTTTTGCCATGAAACGCAGTTTTTCAGATCCACTCAGTAGAACCCACGATCGTTTTTTATGATAAATGCCCTGTCCTTTCGTTAACATATGTGGACAGAATTAAGATGAATTGAACTAATAGATTTTGTAAAGTACCCCCATTAGAAGGATGTTTAGAGGAGCTTCCTTGATTGAAAGCTATAATGCTATAATGACACCCATTGTAATTTAATGAATAAAAACAAGAAGTCTCCCAAGCCAGAAAATTGTCTATTACTTGTTTCTGTATATACTGGGTAAGGGAGTCACGTTTATTCCATCCAGCTTGTTCAATTTAATTTTTGATTTCTTCATTAATGGTGCCTTTCATTACCTTTAACATTTTCACGTTTTTACATTGCCGTTCCCTTTTAAGTTTCCTTGTACTTTTTCATTACATTTCAATTTCATTTCCTTTTACAGGGATTGGAGCTTTTCAGCTCAGACACCATGGAAGATTTCAAGATCGGAATTGAAGGCCCTAGAACTGAAGCCCACACATAATAGACACTGCTTGCTTTTCTGCTCTGTCGGCAGTACAAGTTGTTACAGAATTATTTAACCTTAATTTGTGGCATCGTCTCTTTGCAGGTCTTGATGCGCGAGCTATTGAGATGCATTTCTTTGTGTACAGAATGGTACACATGATTGTTACTGTATTTGTTACAGTGGCGTTACGGAGGCCCTTGGGGCCCTTAGAAGTAAAGCTAAAACAGGGCCTGTACTTTATCTACGGGCTGCAATAGGTCCTATCTAATGGTGTATACCTTGTTAAACAAAGTAGCAAGATGCAAAGATGATAATTTTTCTCGTTAACTAGGGCGGACCTGAGCTACAAGGGTCAGTTAAAGAGCTTTGAAAGTTGCTGCGGACCCGTTTTGATTAAGGGCCCCTTGATATCGACCGTAAGTGCCCTAAATTGCGTTACGCCACTGATTTGTTGATAGTTTCACTTTTAAAGCTTTCTACTAAAAATCATAAGCAATTAATTACTAACGATGTTGACTGTAGTTTTTTATCTGATCTTCTTAATATAATTCATTGAGATTTTCTCGCTGTCATTTCTCTCTCTTACTGACTTCAAGGGAAACGAAACTCGTTTCCTCCATTATACTGTGCCACAGAAGCCCTCCTAAAAGGGGGCTAAAGGGCAAATAAACGGACAACGTTCAAATGAAATTTTGACGTGTTTCGTTTTCTGGGTCTTCAGCGTGATAGTTCAGCTTCTACCAATGCACCCAATGATGCCGAAAACAGTGCAGGTCCCTATTTTCAACTGATGTTGGCTCTTTTGGGCTCTAAGAAAGTTTTCGCTGGGTCAGACTTCCACGTGTGTATCTATACAGTCCGGGAAAACCATTCAATGGATATTCGCGAAATTGTTTATTTCTTTATATCGGAAATTACAGACTGACTGACAATTGGCACCTGAAAATTATTCTAGACAGACAGAAGCTCAAAATTGTCACTGACTTTAATGTCGATATATTGTATCCGTAAAAATCACCCACAGTATTTTACCCATATTGTTGGACGATGTTTACCTGGCCAAACGAATCAAACAAATGTCAAAACATCTGCGATGATCAAGCACTGCTGTCTATGGTTGCTTCGTTTTAGTTACAGAATTTTTGATCTACTGCGTTGGTATGAGTAAACAAATGTTGCAAAGGGTGGCCAAACGAACGCAATACACCAATTCGACTTACGGCTTCGTTTGGGAAATTTCTCCAAACTTAATTATATACGACTTTTTTAACCTCAGATTTGGTTTTATCGCAATAATTTTTGGCCAAATACAGTTTTTCATATTGTTTGTGCTTATATTTGAGATTTTATGGAGAAATGAATCTTGAAAACCTGTAAGGGATTTGACCGCAAAAATCATTTCTGGTGAAACTTTGCCCTCCTGGTCGCCAATCATTGTCAAGTTATAAAATTGTTAACTTAATGTCGTAATAAAATCAATAGCGTGAGCCTTACAACAATGAAAACTTCAAAGTGGACTAAAATCATTGCTCTAAATCCGAATCTAAGGTAAAAAATCTCGTTTATTCAAAAGAATTTGAAGAATTTTTCGAAATGTGGCCCTTAGTCGAATTGGCATAAA